TGAGAAGTGAATGCATGTTCAAGTTAAGGAAATGTTTTTGAGGTTTAAGTGAAAAAATTGAAGTAAGATTAGGATTTAATTTATGGTAAATATAGGCAAAATGCCCCGGGTGAGGGGCATGACTCCAAGAGATTGTGAATCCTATCTTAGGTGATAGAGTTGCATTAGTCTAATAAAAGCAAATCAAAGAAATATTTCTTTATCTTAATGTGGGGCTAAGTCACAAAAGTGACCCAATCATACATTTTGGGAGAATGGGCAAAACTGAGCTGTATAGGATCTTTTGAATAAATCAGCAACTCATTTAAATTAGACAGTAAAAATCTTGTCCAAAAGCCATGTAAAATTTTATTCATAAATCTTTGAAAGACCAAAAGGTTGCACAACAACTTGAACAACATTACCATATATTCAGAATTCCCATAGTGAGAGTCAAAAGCAATTAATTATTAATGTGCTTCTTTCATGAAAAATAGACTATAGAGCTCTCTGAGATCCAATTTGATAAAAATGCATGCCTTCCACAACCATTCTAAGAGTTAAGCAATGAAAGGATGAATGTAGCGACATCTAAGGATTACATGGTTCTGTGGTGATATTCATAGAATGGATATAGGAAACTACCATCTTCACAAAAATATTAGGAGTACAGGCCAGAGAGAAGGAAGGGAAAGTAACTTGTAAATTTTCTGATAAATTGCTTTAAGCTGCTAATTCTGAATTTCCAATCATTAAGTAGTATTTTCTGGGAATCTTGGTCCTAGGAATAAAGTTGAATAGTACTGAACAAAAAAGCAAAGTCTGTGAGGTCCTTGGTGCTCTTTGAACTTGATTGTTTCCTGGTAGATGATTTATTACCAAACTAGGTAACATCATCAGTGCTAGTAGGGAGTGGGGTTTGCTCTCTTTTTTTATACTAGTAGCTTGCTCTTTCAATATTAGTGGGGGTTCCTTGATTGGGAAATTGTTGGCTATTAGCATGTTAGTCTGAGTTGATAGTTTCTTGTCTGGGGTATTGTTTGCTTCCTGTTTGCTAGTCGCATGTTAATCTTGGGGTTAATCCCTGCTCATCTGGATGTGGATTGCCGGTGAGGAGGCATTTGGTCTTTTTATTTTCTTTTTGGCTTTTTGATTGTGTCTTTTGAATGGTATGATTATCTCTATGTGCCAGTTGATGGCCAGTTTGTCTGAGTGCCAGGCTTCCAGGAATTCTCTTGTGCTTTTGGACTTGACTTGGTCTAGGATGCCCACAGTTTCCCAGTTGAAACTATGGTTAATTCTGTCCATGTATTGTGAAATTAAGGAGATTTCATCATGTCTTCTGTTGGTATTCATGGATGTGTTCTGCTAATCTTCTGCCTCTTTGTCCTATAGTACATACTGTCTGTTGCAATCCCTAAACTATTTGCTGGGTTTTTTTTCTTCTTCTGAGTCTGCTGGATATTTTGGTTTACTTAGGATGTTTTGGAGGGATTTAATTGGTTTGTCTGCTATGGTGATGCCATGTGGTTGTAATCTGTTGGTGAATTGTGAGATGTTTTGATGTATGGCAGTGAAGAATCATATTCACAACTTTAGTTAGCTGCACTATATTGGATTGAGTGGTCAGGCACTTTTTGATGAAGTTGCATTGATATCCATTTTGTTGGAAGATGTTGTATATGATGTGTTTCATTTTTCAAATGTTCAGGGATAAAAAAAAGTCTGTGTGGAGGTAGAGGGAATGAAAGAGAATAATGATGTCTGCCCTTCCCACTAACATATTCTCATATTCTGCTGCAATTCCTTTACTTTTCTGTTGATGTTCAAGCAGACCTGGATTAATGCTGTCAAAGTTAATCAAGCGCCTTGATTAATGACTTGTCCTCTATTTCATCTGGTAGTCAGTTCAGCCTCTTTCATTCTAGCTCATATCCTGAGATAATGGCCATCTCATCAATATATTTCCTCTCTAAATGCTTCACCTGTCATAGGCAATGGTTTTCACAGTCTCAAGTCACTGGCTTGACAAGGTCTTTAAAGTTAGTTCTCAGATGTACCAGTTGAATCAGCTAAATCTGAACTGTACTGGGTTGTTCATTTTACACATCCTTCAGTCATTAGACTAATTATAAATCCCATGGTGGTTCACTTGATAAGGAAATAATTTGATTTTAGGAAGATGTTTAATTCATATTGAGTGAAGAAGGCAGTAAATTTGGTCAGATTCCCATACTGATGAGGAAAGGGAATACTTTGTATGGGAGGATTGCAACTGTTGTAGTTGCTTCAACAATGACTGCAAAATCTTTGGCAAACTGGTAATGAAGCGGAGGGGGGGATTATTGTTTGTGATTGACCCATCCTCATATATTGGGCTATCCATGCAAGGCCTCTCAGGTAAAATGATTAGACTATTCCTGTTCCATATTGCCAAGTAGACTCAAGAAGGTTAGGTAAGTTGATTTACTGCAGAGAATTAGGAAGCCATACCTAAAAGTTCTCACTTCAGAACATCTAGAAATCCTTCCCTTTAGTTCCAAATTATGAATCCTCTTCCTCCAGCCTATTTGTATCAGTGGCTACATGGATGCTTATTTCATAACCTTGAAGATTTCTACCATCTGCTTCTTATTTACACAATATTTTTTATTGGAATGAGAATCAGAAAATCCTGCCCATCAGCTCCATCTTTAGATTGCTTCAGTCCATATGGGTCACTGCTTGGTTTTGGAACTAGAGCAAGAGACCAGCAACTCAACTGATAGTGGAATCCCTAGAGAGTCTACAGCCATTCATGATTCCTAGGCATCTGACCACTTGCTATAGTAAAGGCAGTAGGAAAGTCTATCAAGCTCATACCAGGGTTCAAAAATCAAAGGTCTCTAATTCAACCCTTTGTTGGCAGAAGATGCAGGTAGATTAGTACCTTTATTTACCAATAATAATGAACCCTCAGCAATGAATCACTGGCCATTTCACTCTAAAAAAAGTAACCATGTTTGGGATCCAGAGTTTAAAATGTATAATTCTTCAAATTTTCTATTTGAACTGATGGATACGTGGCAGCCTGCATAGGTAGTTGATTCATAATAAAATCTCTGGGCTGGGAATCACAGATTCTCACTTTACCAGCCTTCATTCTTACATCATGATATATATACACTGATATTCTATTTTTCCTTTCCTGTGAAACTGGGACTGGATATCTCCCAGGCTTCTGAGGGTCTCCAAACCAGTGAAGGAACAAATGCGAAATAACAATCCAAACTAAACATGGAGAAGGCAGAATTTTTACTGTTGCTGGGGGCTTGACTTTAGGAGTTGACCGATGAGGTTCCAATTTTCTCTTAAGGATTATGTTGTTATTTAAATAGATATGGATTCAGACTTCTAAGGCAGTTACAAATAAAAATGAATTAAAAATAATATAAAAAAAATAAAACAAAATGAAGAGTGAAGATGGGAAGTTTGTCAAAAAAACAACAACCCAAACATGAACACAATGAAGTCAGACATTTTCAGGAGGGAGGTCTTCCTAACCCATCACTAATGTTGAACAGCCACATAATAGTGGCTAGAATGGTCTTTTCTGAGTTTCAACTCATAAATGTGGGGCATCCCCACCTGGGGAAAAGGACCTGTCTTTTCTGCTAAAACCTGAAAATTGTATTATTCTAATATGCTTTTCTTGGAACAGCTTTTGAAGCTATTTTGCAAATTGGAAAGAGCAGCCCCAAAAATAGGCAATGTCTCTTGAAAATCCCATATATGTCCCTGTTGAAGCAGTTTCACTGTTTATTGTCTTCTGAACTCAATGTAGTATACATACATTATATATAAAGACTTATATAGCTTATGCCTAAAGTATTTAGGTAGCTTCTTTTTCCACATAGTCTTTCTCCACAAGTATGGTACCTTTTGCAAATCCTACCAATTTCTTTTTTCTGAATTGGGCCCCATAGAGACTGAAGCCAAGACAAATCCCCTCCTTGTTACTGTACAACAGAGACTAAAAGGTAGTTTTCCACCCAGGCCTTACAATATTTCATGGTTATATTTATGGTATTGTATTTCTTCTTCATTTTGCAGTATACAGTATATGTTTTCAAAATAAAATTATAAAAGGGAAATTGGTGTTTTCAGAAGTAATTATCATCAGAATGTTTAGGACCTTTAAGTTCATCTGTAAAGTTCAGCACTACTGACATTATTATATACATAATGCCAGATTACTAAGATTTATGGCTATGGTTTTGATGAAGTCATGCTTATCACACCTTAGCTGTATTCTCCAATTTAGTTTTGACTGAGAAAAAAACTATTCTGACTATTTCTGCTGCATACATAATGTTTACTTCTAAATACTATGGATATAGTGTATTTGTGTGTCGTAGAACAATAGAATGCAATAGAGCACATACATATACCTTTGATGCCGAAAGTTACATAATGCAGGAAAGATTTACTGCTAAGACATGAACCGGCCTTCTTGTTATGTATCCAGAAAAAAACAATTGAATATATCTGCAAGTATTTGCGCTGCCAGAATTGTGAAGCATAAATCTGGAACAAACCACAAAATTCACTGAAACTGATCTACCATCTGTAGGCATCCAGACCTGTCATCTGCCCATTGAATTGCTAAGCTGCATGATATAGCAGAATTGAAAAGATCTGGGCAATCCCAGATGTAGTTATGTGTCTTAATTAAATTATCCAGTATTCTTCTTTAATGGTATCTTCCTATCTCCTTTTTTACAGTTCTACCCCTCAGATATATATATATAATTTCTGTGATAAAATGTAAATATTAAATTATGACAATTTACCTCAGTCTGAGAAATTTTTGCTTATGTGCTGAAGTTAGAATCTGCATAAACTTTCTAATTTAGTATCCCTTGATTTTCAGAGACTTCCCCTTTGTTGTGGTGTGTTTATATATGTAGTTCCTGTTTGTAAGTCATTTTTGCCTGAAATGCCAGTTAATGCCCATCTCTCCTTTATTCCTAAATTAAAAGCTGTTCCTGCCCTACTGGATTTGAAGGGAAGAAATGTGATCTGAATCCAGATGACTGTCAAGATAACGATTGTGAGAACAACTCAACTTGTATGGATGGGATAAACAATTACGCTTGCCTTTGCCTACCCAACTATACAGGTTAGCATATCATTTTGAGAAATTTTAGAAGAAACATTTCCACATGACACATGGAGTCTCATGTAGCTTAACTGATCTTTTTTCACACAAGGAGGACTTGTTTGACTATTGTTGGGGGAGGGGAACAGACTTTATAAGAATGCCACAATCTGAACTGCTTGCATCTTCCCTCAGAAAAGACAGCAAAACACAGGGAGAGTCATTATTTTAATTCCTATAGTTTTAATTATTCTTCAGTTATAGCAATTTTAGTCTTTGGAGTGTGGTTCCCTACCTAAACAGGTGCAGCAAATAATGTCAAAAATACATAAAAAAATGAGTTAGGAATATTTTCCACCATTAGTAATTGAGAAAAATTTGACTGGACGTCAATGTAGCATAGAAAAGAGAGGATTCTACCTTTCTTCTGGTCCTAGTCAAAAAAGGTGGAGGTTATGCTTTTTAAAAATGGTTGGTTTCAGATATTTAGGAAAGTATTTATGGTATTTATTGGCAGAGAATTTTAGAATAGGAATAGGAATAGAATAGAATAGAATAGAATAGAATAGAATAGAATAGAATAGAATAGAATAGAATAGAATAGAATAGAAAACAGAGTTGGAAGGGACCTTGTAGATCATCTAGTCCACCCCTTGTTCAAGCAGGAGATCCTATTAATGGCTGTCTAGTCTCTTCTTGAAATCTTCCAGTGATGAAGCACCCCCAATTTCTGAAGGCAAGCTAAATTCCATTGGTTGATTTTTCTCACTGTCAGAAAATTTCTCCTTATTTCCAGATTAAAACTCTCCTTGATCAGTTTCCATCCATTGTTTCTTGTCTGGCCTTCGGGTGCTTTGGAAAATAGGTTGACCCCCTCCTCTCTGTGACAGCCCCTCAAATATTGGAACACTGCTATCATGTCTCCCCTGCTCCTTCTCTTCACTAGACTAGCCATGCCCAGTTCCTGTAAACATTCTTCATATGTTTTAGCCTCCAGTCTACTAATCATCCTTATTGCTCTTTTCTGCACTCTCTCCAGAGTCTCAACATCTTTTTTATAGTGTGGAGACCAAAAATGGTTGCAGTATTCTAGGTATTTTCTTTTCTTACTGCTATACACATCTCGCCCATAATACTGGTATCAGAATTAAGTATCCAGGAAACTTGGGTTTATGTATGTATTTGTGTATCTAAAATGTTGGCATATTCGTTATTACTTAAGAGATATGCTCTTCACTACAAAGCATTGCAATGTGGGTGCTTTGGCTTAGAGCTTTGCCATCACTGCAATCTTCTGAAAGTCTCATCCACTTTCTGCCCTTACTTTAATCTCCAGCATTCTGGGATACCTGAGATTGTTGGTATGATAACAGTAACAGAAAGCATGGGGCTTCCTCCACATCCATGCAAATGGATGTGTATACATACATACTGTGCATACATAAATGCCTATTCATAGACCAATTTTTGTATATTGTGATGTTTCCATAACTGTCTTCATCCCTCTATTGAACAAATAATTCCATTGTAACTATACAGGTAGTCCTCGACTTATGATCACAGTTGAGCCCAGAATTTATGTTGCTCAGTGAGACATGTGTTAAGTGAGTTTTGCCCCATTTTATGACTTTTGTCACCCCATTTGTCAAACGAATCATTGCAGTTCTTAAATTAGTAACATGGTTGTTAAGTGAAGCTGGCTTCTTCATTGTCTTTGCTTGCCAGAAGTTTGCAAAAGGGGATCACATGACTCCAGGTCAATACAATTGTCATAAGTGTGAGCCAGTTGTCAAGCATCCGAATGTAAACCATGTGACATGCAACAATGGTCATAAGTGTGAAAAGTGGTCATAAGTCACTTTTTTCAGTGCCATTGTAACTTTGAACGGTCATTAAATGAACTGCTGTAAGTCGAGGACTACCTGTATTAATCCAACACCACGAATATAGGCAGATATTGCAAAAGATGAGTGTGGGGATATAATTGCTCCTTTTCCTCTCTTTTTGAGTACCACTTAGGCCACTTTAAGATTTAAATGGATCATTGATCATAATAAAGAACATATAGTATGTATTTATGCAGGATTTAATGGGCCTTTGGTTTCCTTCAGCTGTGCTTTTTTCAGCTTGTATGTGCTAACTTCACACCTTGATGTGATGCAACTTATTCTAAGGTTTGGAGAATAGAGGTTCCTATTTCACATATAATAATACTGGTAAAGTGGTTCCTGTTCAAGAACAAAGATTTTCAATAAATAATCTATCTATGCATATCAGTTATTTCAGCAAGCAACTCTACATTTATTTGTTTTATTGCCTTCACATTAACATCCATATCCATTTGAAAACTACAGGGAACATCACAGCATTTTGTTCAAATATCTCTAAGAAGAAAACAAAGAGCAATACAGAAAATAATAAAATGACAGCTGCTTGGTTTTCACCTTTACTCGGACACATGGTATTTTTAGCAGTCCTGTCCCAATTCACCCAATGTAAAATCTCCAAAGTTTGAAGAAGTCTACACTCATTTTTTTCTCTTCCACCCACTTCTTCAACAATGCCCCCAGATTTTAGAAATGGTAATTGCATTCACCCAACGATTTAAGAATATAAGCCATCAAATCATAAGCTGTTACATTCGCAGTATCGTGATGAAAAAAAAATATATGTTCTTTTGAAATATGAAAATGTGAACTGGCCGTGTTACTCTCTGAGCTCTGGACACTTACAGAAAGGCCCCTTATAAGCGGAAGAGTATTACATAACTTGGGATTCAATCAGTGTCATGTTTGAGTGAGCTAGTAAGAAAATGTAAAATTTCCCAAACTTAAAATGTTTTGTTGGGCTCTTTTGGGATGCTTATGTAAATAGTTGGCTTAGAAAACCTTCATGCTGATTGAACCGCTGCAATTAGCCATATTTTTGCCAGAAACATCTGTAATGGTTGAACCTGACCCCAGAGTTTAAAAATTGAGACTTTTGTCATTAACAAAAAAAAATTGCTTTTAAATTTTTGTTATTGCTCTTTGTTAATGGGTAAAAATAAGGTGCAGGCTATTTTACTAAATAAATAAATAAATAAATAAGGTATTGTTTTCTGCCATTTTTTCTTTGTTTTACTGTATTATTTGTCTATAAACAGAACATATTTTATTAGATATATTGTCTTATTGTTGCCAAAAATTTTAAATTTTGGAAAAGGGTTATCCTAAACAAAACAGTTAAATTTAAATCAGCATAAGACATAAAGTACTGTTTAATGCTGAATTTTCAATAAATAATCTAATAATCAATAAAAATATGTTTCTTAGGAAAATAGGCAAATTAAACAAGCAGATCTCCAAAAACAATCTTAGACACCGCAAAATATAATAAGCAGCATACCAATAGTTTGCCATTAAAAATAGCCTTTTATGTAGCAATCAGGCCATGAAAATGAATAATTTCTCTTTCTATATTTTCTAAGTATCAGGATACTATAGATCTATACCTATAGTACTTGACTACAGTACTTGAGCTTAACTGATCTAGTTGAAGTCCAGGTTCTTTTCAATTCTGTGTTGATCTGATTTTATGACTGAAATATGGCAGGGGCAAATCATTCATATTAATATTCTCCATTTCTGACCTCTGTGGCTTCTTTTATTTTTTGGTCCATAATTTTATTTAATTTTGCTTTATAGGCTTTGATTGCATTGTAAACAACATGAGGCACCTGTTTGTTTAAAATTTTAGACATTAGGTACAGAATTTATTGTCAATAAAAGCAAACTTCCCTAAATCAAAGCGACTAAATTATTTTTACTCCCACAGTGGTGAAAAAGAAGGCAAGCATGGAAGAGAACAGGTTGTATCTATTGAAATGTGGTTTGAGAAAACATGTGATCTTGCTCAAATTGAACATAATTTCACTCTAACGAAAGAGCCAGACTGTGTCCAAACACAGCAGCAACCTGGCAACTGGCTGGATGTTCAGCTAAGCCAGTAATTTAGAAAATTATTGCCTGCCTGTTTAGAGAGAGATAGATTTAACAGGTTTGGAGTTTGCTAACATTCCCCTTCTACTCCAAGAAATTGTTTATTTGAAAAACAATAGCTTTCTAGTAGGCCATGGACCTTTGCAGGTTCAATCCCATGTGTCTCCAGTTGTAAAGAATCTCCCTTCCTCCCAGACAAATATAAACCACTTTCTCTAACATTTCAATAAAAAGAGATCTTCTTCCTATATCTCATCCCTTATCAATAATCCATTGATAAAAACTCATCATTTAGTTCTAATCAGCCAAAGTCTATTAAGAGCTAACATATTATATTTTAATCTGAATCTAATCCATTTTGAATTTCAATTTATCACGTTCTCTAAAAAATGAAGCAACAAATCTCTCCCTGCTTATAAATTGATTTTTAACGCCTTGTCATTCAAACCTTTTTTTTAAAAAAAAAAGCAATAATAGCTATCAATAAACCACAACATATACATTAACCCTGACCAAATAAGTCCTCTTTAAATTCCTTTTTTTAACTTTTCTTGATATTTAATCCCATAAAATATTGTCTTACAGGTCAATTTAATGATAAGCAGCTTCCTTATAAATAGTTAAAAGAGGAAGTGGGTAAACCAAGTGTCCAATTTGGAGACACAAAACCATGGTTTAAGCAAAATAATTCCTGCCCCCCAAAAAACCCTCTCAGATCAATTTCTTTGCAGGGAGATTCTCTGAGGAACAAACTTATGGATGAGTCTTGCCGTTTCCATTTTCCTAAGCACATTCCACTTATCTAATTCAATTAAAAATTTTTCTATAATCAATAAGGCATCTATTTTCTTTTGGGGTGTATTCGGCTTTCTCAGTTATCCAACATGCATTAAAAATAATGTATTTTGCTTTTTGACCTAGTCTAAAACTAGCATAAATATCTGGCATCTCCTTTTTCATACAGGGCTCTAATATGTTCTGGATGACTCTATAAATTATTTTGCTAGCTAATTTGTAAAAATTGTACAGAAAATCAGCCTA